TGGTGTCCTCTGGGCATGGCTAACAAGTGGCCTTTACCTGTCCCAGCATTTAACCATTTCTATTTTCTTGAGATGGAAGGTTGCAGTATCCAGTTATCCAAGACAGACCACAGTATTGTTAGAGTCCAAGGCATTCCAGATATTGGCATTTCAATATGATTAGCTCTCTGGTATCTGGTAGATATAGCTCCAGGGCAGAGGTTCAAGTGGGCTGTTGTACTTAGTGTCCTAAGCTGTGGGATCTGGTTGGATCCTTCTGTCCTTGGGTGTTGTCCTCATCTAAGATCCTTTGTTGCCCCACTGCAGCACTCCCCCATGGGAAGGGCATTGTTCCTTTGGCACAGGTCTGCTTGTTCCTCAAGAACACACTTTTTGCACACAATTATCTTTTATTGACCAAGAGGAGTAATACTTTTGTCAGCTAAATGACTATTAGCAACAAGTAATGCAATAATTTAACAAAACAGATATTACTTTTTAGCATGTTAAGAAAATGACAATTATACAAAGACAGTTACATTTAAAAAAATAAGGCATATCACATATAAATTTATGTAACTAGAACTTTAAACAGATACCTAAGATTAACTAGCTAAGAATTTTCATAAGCAAGTCAAAATCTAATGAGACAGTAGAAAACATAATTTTGACAAATTTCTATTTTAGTTATAAATTTTACTAAGTATCAGTATTGCAAGCTTTGTTTCTTTTCTTTTCCTTTCTCTCTCTTCCTTGGTATTAGGGATCAAACTCTGAACCTTGCGCTGCGAGGCAGGTGGCGGAACCACTGAGCTAAATCCCTGGCCCAGCCTTATTTTAAATATGGATCCTGACATTTCTGTGTTACACTTTCTCCTAAAAAATATTTTTTAAAAGAATTCAAACTGCCTAACGTATCAAAAGATACGTTATATGTTATCAGTTTACAAGAAAAACGTAACTTTTAGACTGAGTAGTTTTAAAAAATCATGTTCTTACTCATATTTGAATCCCAAACTGTCATATGTAGATGTAAGCACTGTACATCTAGAAAAGAACACATAATATACCTGGGGAGGGAAAAGCTTGAAATTTTTGCTTTTGAGCCTTGCAAGAGTTTTCTGTAAAAAACAAAATGATTTCTTAAAATGCCGTATTTTTAAGTACTTAAAGTAAGCAAACAGTAGAGAGTAGTTTGCTTGCTTCTCCACAGTTTAAAAAAAAAAAAACCAGTTTCAGCATCTCTTGAAAATACATGTATTAGGTCATATATACAAACCCGTTAATAGGCCAGGTAAGCAATAGTTATAAATCTTTACAGAAAAAACAAATGAAAATAACCCTAATTGTGAAATGATTTATTATAAAATGTACTGACTTTAGATAATAATGAACAAACAACAACCCTCAATCACTTTTTAGTCTTATTATGTAAAGCTTTTAAAAAACATGCTGACCTTTAACAAAAATTTCTTTGGTCTTAGCAGTAGGGACCAGGTGCCCTCAGGCCCTGCAGGTCTGCAGGGCAGCTGCGGGGGTAAATGGTGCAGGGTCAGTGTCAGGGCCAAGCTACACAAGGCTTGCCAGCACGGGCGACACGGCCCGAGTGCAGCATCTCCTCATTCTGGGGAAATGTGGCGTCAATGGCAGAGACAAGAAGCACAGGACCACTTTGCATTTTGCCTGTGCCTATGGCCATCCGGAAGTGGGTGACTCTCCTGGTGGAGAGGGAGTGTGACACTGATGCCTGTGACAGGGAGAAGAGTACTGCTTTGAATAAGGCTGTGCAATGTCATCAGAAGTGTGTGACAATTCTCTTGGAACATGGTGCCAATCTGAATGTTTGACAATACTGCTTTCCATTATGCTGGCCATTACCGAAAACACATTGATAGCAGCAAAACTGCTTTCACACCATGCAAAACTGAGGCCAAAAATAAGGATGACCTCACGGCACATTTACTTGCTCTAAGGGAAAACATACAGCAAGTAGCAGAATTGTTTATAAACAAAGAAGTAAATATTCATGCGGTGGACAAGCCAGAAAGGCTCATTTTTGAATATGAAGATAAGAGACTTAAAAATTTTCAAATTAGCCAGCCATCCAGTGCTTGGACCTGAATCCAAGACCTCACACACTGTAGTTGATGAGAGTTTTGAAGATGACTCTTTAACCAGGTTTTCAAACAAACCTGGTCCTGATGACTCCTGGCCTTTATCAGATGAAGACGACTATGATTTTGGTAACAAGAATGTCCCCAAAATAAACCTAACTGAGCTATGGGCTGCTGCTCAGAGATCCAAGCAAAATATGGCACTGGAGAAGCAGGAAACAGAAGCTGGCTTGACGACAGCATTCTCGGTAGAAAAAACAAAGATGTGGTTGAAACCCTTCCTGAAACATCAATGTCCAGAACTTTTCTCAGTCTTCCTTTTTATCACCATCACATGACACAAAAGAAGCAACATTTCATTCAACAGAGTGGAAAAACTGATAACCAGCAGTTTCCTATTAAGAAGAATGAAGAACATGACAGTGGCCCTGCCTTCCCTGTGGGGGAAGTAAAGAAAAAGGAAAGTGAACAGTGGAGCTCCACAGAATCTATGACAGCCTGTGTTGGAGCAGGCCGGTTCCCGTTCTGGTGGCCTACTACAAGTGAAGGGTGGGTACAGCTTACATGATACAGATGAAGAGGAAGGATGGTCCAGAAATAAAATATCTAACGAAAACAGCAAGGTCAAAGAACAAACAGATGGTGTGGATGACCTTTGCCGACTATCTCAGTCATCTGAAACAGCACCAGAGGATTGTGGATTGCTTTACCCTAAGTATGAGAATATTTTGCTGCTATTTGAACAACTTAGAATGGAGTGTAAAGATTCTGTTAGTGTATCAAAAATCTGGGATGCGGTACATTCATATAAAACATCAAACTTAAAAACATCACGATGAACTGCTTATAGGGAAAAATAAAAAATTGGAAAATAAGTCTACAGGAGGAACTAACTGGAACAAATCTAGTGAGATCACAGTTAGAATGTGAGAAACTACACTGAGAACTTGGCAATTTATGATTTGCCTTATAACGAGGAAAATGGAAGAAATGTTGAGTTTTATGAAAAAATTAAAGAGCAGTTAAGAAAAATGAGCAATATCATCAAGAAGTTGAAGTAAAACAGCAACTTGAAATTTCTCTTAGAACACTAGATATTGAAGACTGTAAGAAATAAATTGAATCAGGTTCTAGAGGAACAAAATGACACGCTGAAGTAACTTAAGTCCTGAAGTTTCTCTTAGCCATAAAGATCTAATGCCAGATTAAGACTAGAAATAGATGCAGTAAAAAATAAGAATCAGGTAAAGGAAAAGAAATATCTGGAAGGTACTGAAATGACACATAAAAATAATGACCTTCAAGGACAATAAAACTGAATGAGGATACAACATTTCAGTGTAATGGACAGCTTAGTAGTCTGACAATAGAAAATACAATACTGAATTCTAAACTGGAGAATGAAAAACAAATCAAGGAAAGACTGGAAGCAGAAATTGAATCATACCATCCCAGACTGGCTGCTGCATTACAGGATTATGATGAAATTCAGACATCAAAAAAAGATGTGGAACTTGCTTTCCAGAGAGCAAGAGAGGAGTGGGTTCTTTTAGAGGAGACGCTGAATTTTGATATATCTAACCTAAAAGATAACAATGAGATGCTTTCCCAACAGCTTTCCTAAGCTGAAAGAAAATTAAATAGCCTAGAAATGGAGCTCCATCATTCAAGAGATGCTTTTAGAGAAAAGACTTCAGTTTTAGAACAGGTACAAAGAGACCTAAAGCAAACTATAGTGTCAAATGAAGGAAATTAAATGCATGTATCAGAATGAACAAGGGAAACTGAATAAATACATGGGAAAGCAGGAATCCACAGAAGAGAGATTATCCCAAATACAAAGTGAAAATGTATTGCTTCGACAGCAGTTGGATGATGCTCACAACAAAGTTGACTATAAAGAAATGATAGTAATTAATATCCAAGACCAGTTTCATGGTATTGTGAAAACACTTCGAGGTGAGAGTAAAAACAAAGTCTCATGCTGGAAGACAGAAATAAAGAGTTAATCGATGAAAGTAATCATGTGAAAGGATATATCAGTATGAAAAGGAGAAAACAGAAAAAGAAGTAGTTGTGAGATAACTTCAGCAACAACTGGCTGATACCTTGAAAAAACAATATGTTAGAGGCGTCACTGAAATTTCATTGCTTTATTGCATTAATTTAGAAGACGAGACTTGGGATTTAAAGAATTTAAGTCATATCAGAAGTCAATTGGAAGAACAGAATCGATACAAAGGGGCTGTGCGATGTGCTGAGAAGGTGAAACAACACCTACAAAAGCTTGACCTTGAAAATTCCAGGTTAAAAGTGAAAGTAAAAAAGCAAGCAGGGAAAACTGAACAGCTCCAGAAAAACCTGTACAAATTTGTCTGAAGGTGATAACTCAGTTTTTTTAATTGTTCTTTAACAGAATCTCCGGAATTTACTTTGGATCAAGAAAAAGAAGAAAAATGGTGAATTACAAAAAGAGCTAACTGGACCCGGTGGCGTGCGCGTGAGCTCCCGGCCTGCGCGGGAGCCCCTGGCCTGCATGACAACAGACCAGGAAGGCCCCAAAGACCCCAGAGGGGGTTTTTTCAGCTGCCTGCCTGCCTGCCTGCCTGCGATCACCCGGCGGCGTGTGCGCGAGCTCCCGGCCTGCGTGACAACAGACCAGGAAGGCCCCAAAGACCCCAGAGGGGGTTTTTTCAGCTGCCTGCCTGCCTGCCTGCCTGCGATCACCCGGTGGTGTGCGCGCGAGCTCCCGGCCTGCGCGACAACAGACCAGGAAGGCCCCAAAGACCCCGGAGGGGTTTTTTTTCAGCTGCCTGGCTGCCTGCCTGCCTGTGATCACCCGGCGGCGTGCGCGCGAGCTCCCGGCCTGTGCGACAACAGACCAGGAAGGCCCCAAAGACCCCGGAGGGGGTTTTTTCAGCTGCCTGCCTGCCTGCCTATAAAAGGAAAAAAAAAAAAAAAGAAAATTTACAGCAATTGAGAGAGACTAATAATGCTTCCATGAGAAGTCAGATGGAACTCGGAATTAAAGACCTGAAATCAGAGGTCTCTAAAATGAAAATTCAAGAGTCTGATAAAATACAATTTGAAAAATATAGGCAACGCTATCTAGAAGAATTCAGTACTAGAAAGTAATTGTCCAGTAAACTAAACAAGGCCAATGAGAGGCCAGAAGAGACCAACACCAAACTTGTGGTGGAGAAACAACAAAACGGGTCTTTACTGTGCACTGAGTACCAGACCTGTCCTAGAATGTCCTTGTGTTGGAAATCGTAATCATAGTTTGGTGTTCCAGAGAAGTTTTCTTCCCAGAGAAAACTTAGTGGTTCCTCTGTTAAACCCACAGCCTTCAAACAAGAGCATGGAGAGCTACCTGACCAAGATGCAGCAAGAGTTGGAGAAAAGTATAACTAGAGAAGAAAAGCTGCTGCTGAATTTGTATGTGGATACTTTAAAGTTTCTCCCACAAGATCTGCTAATAAATCAAGCCAAGATCTAATTTCAGAAACATCACAAGAGTATCTGGAGATTATGATATATGACCTCAAAAGAAAAAAAAAATTCACTTCATAGGTATATGATGAAAATTTATATACTATTTTAAGCTGTTTCTTGACATCTGTAACCTTTTTTTTTTTGGTACTGGGGATCAAACTTGGGTCCTTGTGCTTGTGAGGCAGGCACCGGAACCACTGAGCTAAATCCCTGGGCCCGACATCTGTAATTTTTAAGTGATATTTGCAAGTAAAAGCCAGTATTACTGAGTTATATAATAAAAAAAATTTTTTTTTTCTGTTTTCAGATACTTCTTATCCTTCTAGAATAGTACTCTGAAACTTAAGGGTCAGATATCCTTTGATCTTATATTACAATGCTACACATACATATCAGCAATCTGAGATACATTTAATACTCTCAGATATTTTGTTATAAACACTTGTTCCATTTTTCTTTTAATAATTACAGAAAATCAGAGTTCCCTCTTAGATACCTTGGCCATGCTGAATTATAATAATCACTTGCTTGGTTCTAAGTTTATAACCATAAATAGACAGAATTGGCATTCCTATTTTCTTATGTATGTCCTAAGAGCCCAGTGGTACCTTGGTTCACAAACTTAATTCATTCCACAGTTCTGCAGAGGGTGGCCACAGTCACCTTGCCAGATGTGAAGCACAATCTTGCCGAACACTTCTGCACCTGTGAGCTGAGGTACTGCTGTCTCTCAATATTTTAAGCTACTATGATTATGTTTTTCCTATTAGTTAACACTACAGACTTATACATTATAACAGGCAGGGGAGAAAGAGAGAAGGGGCTGTAGATTGCTAGAGGGAATCTTTGTTCACCTTCCCTCATTAGAAAACCAAGTTTGAAGTCTCTTTACTCTTATATTTACATTTAGAGAAACATAGAAAAAAATCAACACCTTAAATTGGTCCCAACCTCATAAAATATAAACTAAAGGTGAAGTTTTGTGGAGACAGAGTAGTTACCCATAATTATTTAAGATATATTACATGCTTATAAGATCCTCTTTGTGTACTTTTGAAAAGAGATACAGAAAATAACAAAAACAAAACCAAATAACAACATCAACAAAGATTCCCAGTGTTAGATTTCCCAAGGTCAGAGCTACCTGATGTACATAGTGTTGGCTTTCTAGTCTAACAGCTTTTCAACATTTTGAGTATTACAGGAAATTTTATTCAGGCTTAAGATGTGGTTGGAGAGTGGACAGTGTTAGCATCAACTGTACTCAAGAGACAGAAGAGGGTGGAGTTAATCTCAGGAAACAACAGGGAAAAATAAACACAGAGCCATAATAAGATAAATATGCATGATTAGGCCAAGGTCAAAGTTAACCCAATCCATGAAGGTTTCTTCTGAAAGTAAACAGAAGAAGGGACAATTCTATTGAGACCCATAGCCATAGTAGTAAGGTTCATCAGGGCGGAATCCATAAGCTGTGGCAGGGCGTCCAAGAATACCAACTGGCTGGCCAAAGCCATCCATTCCAAGGCTGAAAGAGAAAAAAAACATAAGCTGTGTTTTTAATCACAAATCTATAATGCAGGTCAAATAAGAGGCTCAGAATTTTACACCTCCGAGATTCTCTTTCTGGCACTGATAGTGATTTATAAGAATATCAGCCTTTTTTTGGCCTTAAATTAATGTAGTCATTAAAATGTGTATAAAATATTTACTTCTCAAAAGATGTATGTTGAAAATGTCAGAAATATGTTCTCAGATTACTATTCAAAACAAAATGAATCAGGTCAAAAAAGTTTCATTCAATGCTCTAATGAAAGAATATGAAAAGATTTTGCATCAAAGCAATTATCAATAATACACTGCTAGGGAATGATAAATTTGTCAGCCAGGTTTGATCTGCAGATCCTTCTTCTGATTCTTCCGCGCAAAAAACATTGCTATATATTATAAATTCTAGTTCAGCTTATTCTGTGGAAATAATGGAAAGACAAAAATAACATTCAGAGTTATAAAGGTAATTGAAGCATTGATATACTTTCTTTTAAAACTGAGCATATTAATAAATTACTTAGAAGAAACTTGTTTTCCAAAGCACTTTTTAAGAATCAAAGAATTATCCCACTTAGAAAAATGACAAAAATATGTATTTTTCTAGGCAATTATGACAGCAGTAACATGCTCATGCATAGCTCATGCAGTGAATGCTACTGAGCTTGATTTTCAACCGAGAAGCCATCCATAATGTAGACATATAAACTTTGAATAAATATACTCAAGCGATTTGATTTGAAAGGGTACTTGGAGATTTTTCACCAGAAAAAAATCCCAGTATGTTTAAAATATATGTTCACGTTGGCACCAATTTCCCCTCACACGCAAAGTGAGATTAAGTTGAAACAATTTAGAATATTAAATTTTAGCTTTTAAAATAATGTATGTATGTGCATGTTTATTAGGATGGAGCTAAGGAATAAGACATACTGGTCCTGTGAACCAACTTCTCAGGGGAATAGAATTTTTGAACTACAGGTGTCATGTTATTATTGTACTGAGTGAATGTAGGGGAAAAAATCGAGCTTTTGGGTCTGTCTGTCTCCTCTCTCTCTTACATATATAAGTAAATATATAACTATCCATAGTCGTTTCTCTTAGGGTTAGTTGAAATATTATGTGTGTATTTTATTTTGAAATGGTAAAATATAAGCACCCTTTCCTCCTTTGGTATCATAGGAAGACAGATTAAATTTTGAGATGTTAAGAAACATTATCCCAGAAGTTGCTTAAATTCTTTCTATTCTGAAAGTAACAGAGCAGTGACCTCTTTTTCAATAATAAGATCCACTGGTATCAGTTTAAAATTAGATGAAAAGATGGCTGAAGAAAACTTTTAGTGCTAAGGCTAACTAGGTATTCATGTATCTAAACAACTCGAGTATATAAGGGTTGATTGTACAGCTTGAGGATTTCATATTCATATTTCATTCCCTATTCATCTACTTATTGCCTGCCTTCAGCACCTCCTCTGAGGTTGAAAGCTGAAGACTTAGATGAAATTCATTGGTCCTTATTTCTCAATCTAGAGGCTGTGGTGGGACTTCTTTGAAGAATTTGGAAATAAGAGGCACATGGTAGATCAGTGAAGGAATATGTAAAGGCATCTTCAAAGCAGAACACATTTTTAGCAAACCCAATGTATTAGACCCAAAGATGACTCTCGGAAGGGAGTGAGCCAGCCATGCTGGCACAGACCAAGGAGCTTCTCGGCTACAGGGCGGGTAGTAGCAAACTAAGCAGTTCCCAGGGACATGGTGACTTGTAACCTGACTCCTCTGGCAGGCTTGTTCTCAGTGAGGAAGAGGATTCAACAGATTCTTAAAGATTGAGGCCATTGTACATTGAAATTGTATAACTTTTTAAAAACTTCTATGATAAAAAGGCTACGCTCCCCCCTGATATCAGGGACTGAACCTAGGGCCTTCACACTGAGCTACAACCCCATTCCTTTCTAAATTTTTAATGTTGAGACAGGGTCTCAGTAAGTTGCCAAATTACCCAGGCTGGAATTGAACTTGCAATACTCTTGCCTTAGGCTCCCAGAGTGTTGGGATTAACAGGCAGGTGCCACCACACCTGACTAGCAAACTTCTTTTGTTTTACTATTTGCCAAGAGAGTGAAGAATACATTTTTGTTACCTGATCTATCAGATGGCTATACTTTTCATTAGAAGTTGACAGATAGTTATTTTATTTCTTTTAAGTGTTAGTTTACATTGCTGACAAAAATCTACAGCTCCAAGTCGATGACTGTAAGATCAAACCTTGAGCACTAATGCATTTGAGTATCTGAACCTGCAATCTCAGGTCTTGAACATGGTAATTTTAGGCTACTGTGGTGAAGTTCCACCTACGTAGTCAACACATCACCCGGATTACAGTATATAGGGTTATCATGTAACTTTTTGAAGTTGGGAAAAGTTTTCAAGGAAGAATATATGAAAGGACTTAAAATAAACTTTTCTGGATAATTATCCATCATGAACCACTGACAGATTTGCTATTTGAAGAATATTTAGGACATGATGACTAGCGTGCATGGTAAATGGACAATGGGTCCTTTTGTATTATGAAAGATCAGCCATATTGGTAAATTAACAGTTTATTAATTAAATCTACTCTGAAACAACTGTTGTCTTCTTTAAACTTATTTGGGTCTTTCTCATACACTGGGGGAGTTGGGCTTTCCAGGATGCTTAAACATGAAGACAGCTGTTTTTTTGGAACATGTGGACACTTATTCTACCTCCTCCCTTGGGATAATGATGCAGTCTTGTTAATATAAAATGTGGTTCAAAACCAAGAGAATCTAATAGCAAGTTTTTCTTTCAATAGGAAACAGGTTCTTTAAGTAAATTCTTCTGAAAAGAACAGAAACCATGAACATAAAAAGACAGTCAGCTGTGCAGGCTGGTGCACATCTATAATACCAGCACTGTGCGCAGCTGAGGTGGGAGGATTGTGAGTTTCAGCCCAGCCTGAGCAACTTGGCAAGAATAAAATTTATATGTATGTATATTCATGTATGTAAATTTTTAAATGGATTAGGGACTTTGAAGGCCCTGTGTTCAATCCCCAGTACTGGGAAAAAATACAAAGATAGTACCATAGGAAAAACTGTTCTTTCCTAATCCAAAAAGACTTGGTTTAGATTAAGGGATGCTAAGAACTAAGGGAATTAAATCTGTGATGTGGCTTTGCCCCATGTGACCATTTTGCTTCGGATAAGAGTTTGTATATTTGGGTGTTTTTATTGGGAATTAACTCCTTCCTGCCTTACGTGCATTGCCATTTGTACAAATTCTCTTCCTGCCACTCCTAACCCACACGAGAAGTGGCATGAGCTGCTACTGTGTTTTTTTAAGGACTATTTAGTATTTTTATTCTTAATGGTCAGATAACATATATATAGATCTTTGAAATACCCAGATTTAGTACATTTTTTTAGTCCAAAGAAAATATTGTTTATTTTGAAAAACTAGGAATGATTAAGTCAACAAATCAATGTATTATTAAATTTTATGTTCCAAGAACAATGATTTCTGAGGACCTAGACCCTAGAAAGGAAAATGAAAATTAGCTAAAGTGAAAAATTATTTTTAAAATTCAACAATATAAAACATCTATTTTTTCACATTTTAAAAAACAAATCTACAAATAAAACTGACATACAGCAAGCATAAAACTGAATTTTCTACTATGTTTTTAAGACTTTAACCACTTTCTCTTTTTGTTTTGGTACTGGGGATTGAACTCAGGACCTTGAGCTTATGAGGCAAGCGGCGGAACCACTGAGCTAAATCCCTGGGCCCTTTAACTACATTCTTAAGAGTGTTCATGAGATGATTCTGAGTGGGGCAAAAGAAACCTGGCGATGACAAGTGACAGTTCACATGCAGCGCATCACAGGTGAATGGCAGCCGGGGGCCTCCCAGACACGCTCAGGCACTCATTACACATCTTTGCCAGAGTTGACGCTGTAGTGAGGGAAGGAAATTACCTACCTCTGGCTGTTTGTGAGGCTTACTTAGTGCATATTTGTAAAGCACTTTGAAATCCTTGGATGAAAAGTGCTGCACAAGTGAAAAGTACCATTAACTTTATTAAAATTAGACAACAAACAAGTCTTCTTTTAAATTCCTAAGTGAGCAGTATAAATAGAACTGGTAATAAATTGATTAGTATATGCTACAAAAGTAAAAATAAATTCAAGGCACATTCTTTCTTCATAGGCTTGCCAGACTTTTGAAAACATTTTTAGAAATAATCTTGTCTAACTTCCATTTAAAAACTCCATTCAGCTCTTAACAGCTGCAGAATGCAGTGCTCACTACCTTGCAAGGCAGTTCACTCCATTTATAGGTAGGTCAAATTGTTAGGAGAGTTCTTAATTCATCAGGAATCCTGTTCAATGAGTTTTATACTTGTGCTCTAAAATCACTTTGATCTGCAAGTGTCTACCTTAAAGGAAAGTTGGAATTCACATGATACTTATGATACTCTGAAACCAGTAGGGACTACGAGATCTTCTCTCTGACCCGCTATTAATGTAGGCTAACTTGTACTGATCTTAAAAATTATCAGGAGTCATAAAGTTAGCCAAGATTGCATATCTATGTGTACAACCAGGTATGCACAGATACACGGAGAACTTGCTGAAATTTCACTTATAATCACTATGCTGAATTTCATCTCTTAAATTTGAGTCTGTGTTTAGGGATTCCATTTCCTGAGATAAAAATCCTTTATGACAATATTTATGAGTAGGAAATAGTTAATAATTAGCTTTTTGAATCATAAGGTAATATTAGAAGCTGGGACTGTTTATAGATATTAAGTGAAAAAACAACGTGAGCTGGCTATCATGGCTGACACGTTTGAGGACTTTATAGAATAGTATGAAATGGTCTTTTAATAAACTGGAACATTGCATTCTTTCTTATAAATTAATCCATTGACCATAGAATCAAATCA